AGTTAGAGATGGAATCAAGACTGCCTGATTTCCACACTCTCAGACTCACTTGCTGGCTGCATGCTCATCAGTAGGGAGGGCAGTGTGTGAGTTAACTTTTCTAATGTAGCAGTTTGAGCATTTTCAGGCAGCCTGTAGCAGCAGCAGTCTTGCATCATGGTGACACACACCTTTGCTGCCCTCAGAAGAGTAAGAGATTATACACAACACAACAACACAACTTGTGTTACAACGCAGATTTTGCAACAACTCACACAAACAACAAGATACACATTAAGTTACGTACCGTAGAATGGCTGTTTCGACAGGGAGGGAGGAGAATGGGAGGCGGTGCAAATAAAATGAGATGATTGCTTGATTAATAGATAAGACAAGAGAGGGGCCTTGCAGAGACCGACAAGGAGAGGGCACTATGGACTAAAGAGTGTGATTAATACAACCTCCTGCACAAAACAAACACCAGCCAGAATATCTCGGTCAGAACTGTGAATCCATCATTCACTAACTTTTTGTAAGTTAGTTAACCTCTCTATCCCTCAGCTCATCATCAGTAAAATGGAGAGAATACTTGCACCTGCCTGATGGGATTATTGTGAGAACGAAATGAATTTGAATGTGTAAAGTGCTGAGAAGAGCACCTAGTACACAGTGGACATTCAACCATAGGGTTGTGAGAAGTAAGTAAAATAATCCATATAAAATGCTTAGCACAATACCTGAGCCACAGTGTTCAATAGATGTTAGTTAGCTGCTGTTGTCATAGTAATCATCATTATCATCACCATCATTTCTTTACATGGCCAACACCATTCCTTCAGTGAGAGAGAGATAGCTGAAGACTGTTCTGCACAATGGAAGTGCTATGCTTTCTCCTATACGAATTCCTCCATCATTTCCTTTTGTGTAATCTTAGGCAAGTCTCTTAACTTCTTTCAGCATCAGTTTCCCCAAAAAAGCCTTGTCTAATTAAATCTCACTCTTGGCACGTGACTCCTGTGGTGGCTCTAGGATGGAACCCCACACTTAGTCTGTGTTAGTTATTGTGACAAGACCCAAAGCAAAGGCAAGGGGGCCTGACCCTCAGGGAAGTCACACTGGTCTTGGTAGAATTGCCAGACCCCTTTGGCAGACCATGCCCTGAAACATAAGCCCCATCAGCGCAGCCCACTTGTGTAGCCCAAATATGGGGTCACTGGGAGCTATTGGTGCCACATGGAACCAGAGGCCTAAACCGAGATGGAATAATCTGGGTCACCTACCGTTGTCTCAGGAATTCTCCTCGTCTTGTTCTGACTCTTTATTTTCTCTTTTGTGTCAGAGTTACCCAGGACTTGCTTTGTGTCAGGTACTGTACTGTTTCTCATGCATTCTCTCATTTGGTCCTCATAACATCCTGTGAGGGTTGTTATCCTCCCCATTTTATGGATGAGGAAACGAAGGTACAGGGATGTCTAGTAATTTGCCCCAGGTTACACAATTAGTAAGTGGCCAAGTCCAGAGCTGATGCCAAACAGCCTGGCAGCAGAACCCTTGCTACTATACTGCCTCTTGGAAATTCCAAGGCCAATTGGCAGTTTGGATCAAAAATGGAAATTGGATATAATCTTGATCTAACAATTTCACCTTAATGAGTTTATCTGATAGATCTGTTTGGCTTGCTGTTTGAATGCTTATAATGGCAAAAGAAAAAAATTGAACATCCATTTGTAGGAGGCTGGTTAAGTAATTTATGCTACATAGTTGCAATGGGGCAGTGCAGACTCATGAAAAAGAATAATACAGATTTGTTTGCATTAGTGTGAAACTATCCCCAAGATATAGTCTTAAGTGAAAAAAACTTTGCACAACTATGTATATACATAACTGTGTATTTAAATTGTTTAAAAAAAAGATTTCAAAACAGTGTATATCGCATGCTATCATTAATATTTTTTTAAAAAGAGATGGACATACACATACAATTGCAGTTTTATCTGCAACAACTATCCATAGAGGCATATGTAAGAAACTGGAACTAGTACTTGTCTCTGAGCAGAACTAGAGGACTGGAGATCTTCTGGGGAGGCAAAATTACTTCTCACCCTTTGTACCATTACGTATTTTAAATCATAAATGTTTATTACTTTTTCAAAAAATATTTTTAAAAAGAGGGAGCAAGGAAAGAAAAAGGACTTGTGGGAAGTATGGAGGTTTCAGACCCTCCTCTGACGTTCCAGTTTATTCCAGGGTTTCTGGGGAGCCATGCTTTAGCATCATTTGAGTGCCTGCCTTGTGGCCATTTCTTCACTAAGGACTTTGTGTGCCTTCTCACACTTAAACCTCACAACTATCTATAAGGTTATTTTATTGTACCTCCATCTTACAGATTACTCTCAAGCAGATCTGAGTCTGCAGTGCAACCAGAACAGATCCTCCAGATGTAATCAAAATCTAGAATAGGCCTCCCCACCACTATCCCATCCCCATTCCATTTAGTTATTAAGGATGCTGAGGGTCTTATAGAGCAGTGGTTCTTAAAATGTGGTCTCCAGACCAGCCACATCATTATCACCTGGAAACTTATTAGAAATGCAAATTCTCAGGCCCCATCCCAGACCCATTGAATCACAAACTCTGCGGGCAGGACCCAGGTATCTGTAGTTTAACAAGCCCTCCAGGTGATTCTGATACATGTTAAAATTTGAGAACCACCATCCTAGGCCAATGGCTTCACCTGGGAAACATTAAAAAACACCAATACCTCAGTCTCACCCCACCCTAGAGTCCTGATTTAATTGGTTCAGGATGTGGCCCGGGCATGGATTTTTCAAAGCTCCCCAGGTGATTGAAACCCCTGTGACCTAGACCTTTGGAAGCAGCCACTTGCATCTGGGAATAGCTAGTGGCACACTTATGGCATAAAATGAAGCGGCAGGCACTAGCAAATATGTAAGAACATCACAACTTTCCAGTTTTCAGTCCTATCCTCTCCCCAAATCCAGTACCTAACCCAGGAGGCAGAGCCATGGGTGGGGAGTGTTCTTTGGCTAAGCAGGTATGAGCTTATTAATTTGAGCACTTTAGTAGTGTTACTTACTTTAAGCCTATAAATTCAATTTTTAGTGAATGTTAAGAAGACGCAGGAGAAAAAACATCAAATTACCCACAAAATAACAGAGAAAATGAGATCTATAAATGGCATAGTAAAAGGCTAATATTACCAGCTCACTATTTTATGGACATATTTTGTACTGAAGGTCACATCATATCATATGGCTCATCTCCAGCAAAATATGTGTTTAATCAATGTTTGTCTAATGAATCCACTAATCAGTAAATGAATGAATGGATGTCCTTGAAGGAGAAGCTAATTCTGTCTTTGGCATCCACTGCCCAACTTACTACCACTGCTGTTCTTAGAGTGGAGCATGGGGGACGAAAGTCCATTGACAATGAATGTGCTAGGATCAGGTGCTAGAGCTGAATGTCACCTGAGGGAGGCTATAAACGCAGATGGAGGCAGGAAGGAGAAAGCAGATGTGGTGGTCCTTAAAACCAGCGTAGGGGAGGAAGACATTTCCTCTACACACTCTGGGTCCTTCTGGCCAGACAACAAATTAAATTCATATGAGACAGAATAACAGGAGAAAATTAAAGCTTTATAACATGTATACATGGGAGAGGCTCAGGAAAACTGAGCAACTCGCCAAAATGCTGGAAGTTCTCACCTTAAATACCATCCTCAGCTAAAGACAAAGGAGGATATTGCGGGTGGGGGGAGTCAGTTATGGGAGGATACCAGAAAAGCACAGTAAACAAGGGTAAGGTTATTATGCAGATTTAAATCCTTGCCTTCCACTTTGAAAAGAGTTTCTAGAGATAAGGTCATCCCCCCTTCTTCCTGGGACAGAGAGGGAGACACATTTACAGATGGAGATTTCCTTTACAAAGGTAAATGTCTCTTAACAAAGGGTAAGTAAATTCTACTTTTCAGAGTTTCTCTCATGTCTGCAGTTTTTAAAAGAAACCAGCCCCAAATAATCCTCATGCCAAAGAGAGGTATCTTTGGGTGGCCAATTCCAGTCCCCCACACTAGCAACCAAATATTTCCTAGTCTCCTCCCCTGGATATAGTGGGCATGGCACATCCCCACCCCTTGAAGTTCTCTTTGACCATGTGACTTGCTTGGGTCACTGAGAAGATCAGAAGTGTTGTGTTTTGCTTCTACACAGAAGCTTTAAGAGCCAGGGTGTGATTTGTCCTACTTCTCTGTAGGGTGACCAACCTTCCTGGTTTGCCTGAGATTAAGGAGTTTCCTAAAGTGTGGAAGTTTCAGTGCTAAAATTAGGACAGTTCCAGGCATCAACATTTCAGGCAGCAATCATTCCATCGGCTTAGGTCCAGGAGTGAGGGCAATTGGAAGCAGAGCCCCCATCAGACCAGAGACTCAGAGCACTGAAATAACTTGCCTGTGGACACACCACTAGTTCGATCAGAGATAGGTTCCAGATCCCATCTGTCCGACTTCAGAGTCCATAGTTGTGCACCACTCCATCCGACTATAGGTAGTCTCTATTGCAGGTATCTTTTTTTATTTTGTTTTCAACTTTGGACACTCTGGTCCACAAAGGTAGGTGGGAATACCAGCTTTCCTAAATTCATTGAATGACATTCATTCCACAAACAATTATTGTGCCCTACTATATTAAAGGCTTTGTGCCCAAGATGGGCTACACAAAGATGAAGAAATGGTATGATTGCTTCCCTTAAGAAATGTAAAATGTGGGGCCGGCCTGGTGGCATAGCGAAGTTCATACGCTCCACTTGGGCAGCCTGGTGTTCGCTGGTTCAGATCCTGGGCATGGACCTAGGCACTGCTTATCAAGCCATGCTGTGATAGGTGTCCCACATATAAAGTAGAGGAAGATGGGCACGGATGTTAGCTCAGGTACAATCTTCCTCAGCAAAAAGAGGAGGATTGGCAGCAGATGTTAGCTCAGGGCTAATCTTCCTCAAAAAAATAATAAATAAAAACAAAAAAACCCTGAGACTCCTTTTAAAAAAAAAAAAAGAAAAAAGAAACACAAAATGTAGAAGGGAGATAGACATGTACATGGCTACCTAAATCACAAGGCAGAGTTGATAAATTTTAGATACCTTTCTGTACTTAGCAAATTTACCACAATAAGCACATATTAGTTTTATGATTTTAAAAGCATTTATTTTAGAAAGCAACAATTAAAAACACTTAAAGTGTCTTCATTCTTCAGGTTAGCAATTCTCAGTACAATAATAAAAACAATAACAGTAATAGAGAAAGTTTATTAATGCTTTCTTTTTCTGAAGGTCAGTACCATTTATTCAAAGATGATGATACAGCTACATTTACTGGCCTTCAGTAAGATGGGAGCTTTGAGATTTCCTTCAATTGTGCTGACAGATTTCCCATTGTATTTATGGTTCCTCATTCACCCTGTGTGACTGATGGCCCAAGTCTGCATGTCCACTGGGCAGGATTCTCTGCCATGGGTCAAAGCTAACTCGTGCTGGAGGGAAGTGTTTGTTAAGAAACGAAGCGATCAGCCTTCCCTAGGGATCCTTCTCACTGGTCCAAAGACATTAGAATAAAGCCTTACCCAGAGAGGGAGTGGTGACCAGGCATGTGGCAGAGGAAGTTTGAAGCCCAAGACCTCAAAGATAACTGGGCTCTCTTGCCAGCCCTGGACAAAGAGAGTGTGGTTTCTGGGGAAAGCATCATTGTCCTGCTGCCTGGAGTTGGACAGCCTCCAGGGCTGCAGTGAGGTTTTGGTCTCTGAGTACAGTCAAGAGTACCAGCTGCTCTGGTGGTGTGAGCAGAAGTTAAGCTGCAAATGTGTGCACATTGGAACTGTTTTGGGAATGGAGGTAGCAGTAAGCAAACACTGAAAACCTACTGACTTAAGATGTTTTGTAACAGCTGTGCTCCCTAGAGAACGGGTTTCCTCATTGCCTGAATCCAAGAGCATCTCCTGGGTCCTCCCTGTTAGAATGCTGAGCATCCATGGAGAGTTTGAGCCGAGGAAGGAGGGGGCTGTCTCCCAGCTAAGACCGGGCAGCAAGGTAAAACCCCCAGCAGCTGTGATGAAGTTGTGCAGAGGACCAGGTGAGAGATCTGTCAACTCCAGGTGAGAGGTTTCTCCCAGGTTTATAGGTGAATGTGCTTCCACTGAGCAAGCCATAGACTTCAATGTCATTGTAACTTGTGCTTGTGACATCTTTGCCCAAGAACAGCACAAATTGAACTTTTATATTCTTCAAAATATAGAAGGAAAGATATAGACTAAGCCATTTCTTCATGCCTTGAGACATCTCATAATATATATATATACATACATGATATGTATAAATACATTATAATAATGTGTTATCCTATTATTATAGTACTATGCTAGTCAGGATAGGCTAGATAGTCTGCATTAACACATAACCCTAAAATATTATTGACTTAACATAATAAAAGTTTGCACCTTACATCACAATCCAAGGTAAGTAGGGGGATCTCCTGGGCAGCTCCTTCAAGCGGCAACTTTGGAATTCAGGCTCCTCTCATCTTAAAACACCATCAACTTCAACTTTGATTTCAAGAGTTGCCACAGAGGGAAAAGGGAGTACCTATAAAACCACACAGTGGAATTTGTGGCTAGGTCTACAAGTGCTGTCAGTGACTTCCCAATCACATGGATCCATCCTAACTGCAGGGGAGGCGGGGACATGTTGTCTTTTGTGTGCCAGGAAGATAACATGAAATTGACGAGTATCTAGCCAGTCTTTCCTACAAGTTCCTAATTATGCTTTGCATTTGATACAATTCACGCTACCTCCTTGCCTTGCACTGTATTCTGTGACTTCCACATGCAGCATCCCATCCCTCACAACAGCACTTTGAGTTGTCAGGACAGGTGTTACTACACACATCTTATAGATTGAGGACTTAGAGACCCAGAGCAGTTAGTTACATGACTTGTCCAGGTCACATACTACTAAGTGACAGAGCTCTCTCTCAAGTTAGTGATCTCTCTACTACACCACACTGTATTCCCCAGAAGCTCAAATTAGATCAGGCACAGATCTCAGTATATAAACGCAAGTGTGCAAGAAATGTATCTTTATTCTACTCTAAATCAACTTAATTTATCTTTTAAGCCCCTACTCTATTTTGGAAGGTGTCAGCAATGACTTCCATCATTTGGGTATTTCTCCAGCTGTGAGGGTGTCTCTAAGTTTGGGGTGGGACGTGGTGGGGGTGCAGGGGTTAGTGCCAAAGTATTGGGAGATCCATTTGTTCAAGTCAGCCCTTTGAGGAGGCACCAACCAAGATGTCTGCAGTTCCTTCCAGTCTGCCTACTGATGCTAATGCCTCTCTGCCTCCTTCCTGTTTACATGACCCGTTTGTGTGTAGCAGCTTCCCTGCTTCTTTGGGGCCACTCCAGGGTCTGGAAAGTTCTGTAGGCCCACACCACGCAGCCATTCTTCTCCCCAGGCTTGCTGCCTTCCTGAGGTAGAAGAGTCAAGTAGGAGGGAAGGACCCAGCCAGGCCTTTGCTCTCTGGCTTTCCTCCACATCTCTCCCCACCCCAATGAAGGGAAGTATTTCTAGTCTTCCAGGAAAGCCCAATTCTCCTCAAACCTTTTTCTTCTAAATACTTTGGCTGTACCCCAAATCCTCTCCAGTCCTCCAAGGTCTTTTGTAACACAAAACACAACTCACAGAAGTTTTTTGTTCTTGTTTTGTTTTTTATCTTGTCACATCACTCCCTCACCTTGAGGCAATGAGACAAGGGTCTGCCGTCCAAGGCATGAAAGTGGGGATAGGGGAGTCCCAAGAAAAAAACCATTTCTCAATCACTTGTGTATCACATTTAACTTCACCAGGTTCTTGTGAGATGAAGTCTCTGTGTCATTTTCCTGAAACTAACAGTGAGGAGAAGAGGCATTGATGGGAGTTCTTATATTTGGGAACTGGCAGGTTAAGCCCCTTTCTGCCTGATTGGTCTTTAAGTATACCATTCCCTCTCCCCTACCTCAATCCCTATGCTCCACCCCTGATAGCTGGATCCTACAATCTTGGTGATCAAGTTTCCACTTAAGAACTGGGGATCTTGTCTTCTCAGGGGAAGACCCCCCGGCTGTGAAAGCCTGTCCATAGATGGTTTCCCAGTCTTCTAAATGTGGAGAAGGAGATTTGTTTTTCTTGGTGTTTAAGTGTTTATCGCTTCCCCTACCTCAGTTATGAGCGCACACCCTAGAGTAAATCTGCCCCAGAGGGACGTGTTATTGTACAGTATATCGACAGTGATGAAGGGAAAAGGAAGCATTAAGATGGCTTAAGTGGAAAGAGCACATACTACTTGTAAGAGCTGAAGAACTCAGACCAAGTGACAGGCAAAGAGATGCTGTGTTAAAGCAAAACATCGTTTAAAAAGATCTGACTTGTACGAAATGCCATTTGCAAAGTGGATTTTAAAATCATTCCAAAGTACGTTAGGCTTTCACAAGATGTTTGTTTTAAACAGTACAGTTGGCTTTTGGTCAAAAAATGAAGTTTCGGTAATGCACAGTAACAATTGTAGTGTAATTATTGGCCACAAAATACCAGGTGCCCAGCCAAGCCTTTCCTACCCATTTAAGAGAGCCAAGATAAGCAAAAAGGCCCTGCCTAGCCATACCCAGAAGCTCCAAAGCTCAGCCTTTGTCACCAGGAAGGAATTAATTCAAAGAGCAAAGCCATTATGAGGCACAACCAGGCATTCTGTTGTAAACACCTTTTGTTAATACATGTTGAGAGCTGAACTTCCTCACATTTGAAAGAGGCCTGCTTGAGAGAGAATTTAAACCACGCCAGGTTTGAGATTGTTTTCTTTTCTTTTTTAGATTTCTGACATCATATCTCTGGGATTCACACAGTAGGGCAGTGCTGGCCTTGGAGCCCAGAGACTCCTCCAGTTGTCATTTGACCTAAGGATGGTAGTTCCTTGTTCTTCTGTGAACAGATGGCTTTAGCGTCAAGGGAATGAACCTGCAAAGAACGGACAAAACACAGGGGCGTTATAGGGAAGAAACATATTAAGAGATCTAAAGACACACTTCCTCATTATACATAAGGAAGCTATTTCCTAGATTCCTTGAGCTATAAAAGGCCAAGTGAATTTGCTTAAGTTAATAAATTTTATTTAATTATGATGATAATACCACAGCAAAATGTTTTCTGTTTCCTCTCTTTTTATTGCTTCCTGTTAGCTATTGAGAGAAGAAATGTAATGTAACTTTTTTATACTCTGATAATGATGAGGCTATCTCACTTGTTTTGTATGTGCTTCACAATGTATGTGTATGTGTGTGTATATAATTAAGTTGAATAAGATGGCTGCATTGTGTGGCTGCTACAAACACAGATGTAAGGCTAAAGATGGGGTCCAATTTTGTTAGAGTAAAACCCCATCATAAAAGTCCTTCATTGGGGCCAGGCTCGTGGTGTAGTGGTTAAGTTCGTCTGCTCCATTTCAGCAGCCCAAGGTTCATAGGTTCAGATCCTGGGCATGGACTTAGCACCGCTGTCAAGCCATGCTGTGGCAGCATCCCACATAAAGTGGAGGAAGATTGGCACAGATGTTAGCTCAGCGACAGTCTTCCTCAAGCAAAAAGAGGAAGATTGGCAACAGATGTTAGCGCAGGGCCAATATTCCTCACACACACACACACACAAAAGCCCTTTACTATGCTTTAGAACTGATTGAGAGAAAAAACAAAAGCTTCAGTTCTCAGAATGACCTGAAAAATCTATGGTATGAACCCTATTCTCCTTCCCTAGTCCTGGGATTAGAATGAAGTTTCTCATTCAACTAAGGCAATAAATTCACCTTGATTTGTCAGAGTCTGGCATCCAGGAAACAGTCTGGGCCCCCCTGGGTTCAGCTGACGGATCTATGGGCCCTGTGTGCTTCTTCGCCAATAGTGGCGGAGGAGCTGGTGATATCGTGAATGTCACTGAGCCGAGAGTGGGAGCCAGGGACTGTTCTGAGCACTGCATGTCTTCTCTCATTTAGTCTTCTGCATCCTCTTGAGGTTGGCGCCTATCTGCATTTCACGCATGATGAGACCAAGGAAAAGGGCAAGTTATTAGTCTGAAGCACCTAGAATTACTGTTTTTGCAGATCAAAAAAGCTCTAATATTGGCAAGTTCATATGATTCAACCTATTTGCCCAATGGCACAGAGTTAGTAGTGGGTGATTCCAGAGTTTGAACTTTCAACCACCCTAAAATGATGGCTGTATATCTGCATTTCAGATGACAGACCGGGGCTCAGAGCAAATGCATTTAAAAATAAATAAATAGTGCTATCAGTAGACTACTTCCTTTCTTCTCCAGGCTCTAGTTTCAATTACTGACTCTATTCACGTCATAGTGTGAAAGTTGGCTTGAGTCAGACAAGACTGCCCTGCCTGTGGCTACCCACCTGCTGTGCAGCCAAAACCAGCCCATTAAACCAGCTCTGTCAGGCTGGCTGCCTCAAAATCCGCCTGCCTAAAAATATCTTCCTCTCAGGATGGCGCAGAGCCACACACCCCATCTCCCCAGCTCGACTTCCACCATTAGAGCCACTCAGCTACAGCCACAGGCCTTTGTTAAAATTCCTCAGCAAACCCTATCAGCCTCTCCTGTTAACACACCAATGATTAGTTTATCATCAGATTACGGGAACTCAGGACTTGGATCAAGTGAATTTTGTTTGGGAGCCGCTGGGGAAGGTCAGGAACATGAGGGTAAATCATAAACTGTTATATGCGGCAGTAATGTTTGAAGCCTATTGGCCAATCCCAGCATTTTACAGCGGACAAAACTGATATTTAGGTGCTGAAGCCCTGGCATCCTGATTTTAGGGTGACCACTCGCCACAGTTTTCCTGGGACTGAGGGGTTTCCTGGAGTGTGGGACTTTCAGTGCTCAAACCAGAAAAGTCCCAGGCAAACCAGGCTGAGTTGACCACTCTATTCAATTGGCAGCCCAAAGCTCTTCTTCTCTGGACAGGTCAGACTTAGCAGGGCCTTGTAGCTAGGGCCCCAAGGCTGCTTGGTACAGTTCAAAAACCTCAGGTGGGGAAATGACAGCAAATAGAAATTTACATGGCACAGTTTAACCAAAGCTGGCTCCTCTGAATGATCAGCCTCCAGGCATGAACTTGGATGGATGTGGAAGCAGCCAAGTGAGGTAAGGTTGTGTCTGCCTCATGGTTGACCGAACCTTAGCCTCTTGGGCCACAGCATTTGGGAAAGCTGGTTAGATCGAGTCAGTCTCAGAAAATAAGGCCATGGTCTGGCTTATTCATTTCATAGAGACGAGCCACTGGGTCAGCCGCAGCCCAGTGGTTCAGAGCCTGTAAGGAGAGGGCCCCTGCTGCTTGTCTGCCATGTAGCTGCATAGAGAAAGGAATGCAGAAGTACACAGACAGGGAGAAGCATCAGCAGGGTACCCCGTGCTCCCATCACTTCCTTCTTCAGAAGTTTTGTCATGTGAGGTTTGAATCCTGCAATAAGCAGTCATTCTTGGCTAACTTTGGACTTTTTTCCTTAAAGGTCAAGCATCTAATTTTTAAATATTCCTTGTTTTACTTCTCCCCCTGGCCTATTTGCCCCCAGCCCTTGGTTTCTTGGCACTTGTTTCCTCCACCAGGCCTCCTGCTTTCTGTTCTGCTGGGACCCAGCCTCTAGCCTTGCCCTGCACCTGGGGGTAAGGACGTGTTGAATGAAGGGGAAGAAAGGGAGAAGCAAGGAAGGGATAATGCAAGGAGCCCAGTCAGGCAAAATGGTCAGTACAAGTTCTCTTTAATATTCTTTCCTGCATGCGTTCCTTTAAGCTCTGCCGAGACACTCCCACCGCCATCCCTACCCCTGCACATACCTGCTGGAATCTAAATTTTTCATGATCCATCCTTGTTCTCAACCACCACTGAAATGTCCTTCTTCATGCCCAAATAGCAAATTTACTGATCAGATAAACCAGTCACTGTTAATGGGAGTTAAAGGCAGAGGCAAAACGCTTAAAAGTGGACCTTAACTGACCTGTAGAGTTACAACCCGTCCTAGGTTGTCTTAACACTTTAGTGAACCTAATTCTGGTGGAGGGATTTTGAAATTGGGGGATGGGGTGGGAAACATAGTGAAGGATTATTTTTGGAAGAGCTCTGTGATGAGGGTTGCCAGATTTAGCAAAGAAAAATATAGGGCACTTAATTGAATTTGAATTTCACATAAAAATGAAGAATTTTTTAGTATAAGGATGTCCCTTGCAATATTTGTGATATACTAAAAAGTACTCATTGTTTATCTGAAGTTCAAGTTTAATGGGGTGTCCTGTGTTTTATCTGGCAGTCCTGTGACCCGTGATGTCTCCCAGATTTGCAGCTTATGCAGTAGAAGTCCAGGATTGCTGTGGAGTTTGGAATAGGTTCCAAATATCTGGCAGAAGGGAACCAGCCCATCGGAAAGGGCGTCATGTGTTACAGTCAGGTGAAATCACTGTTCCCAAAGCAAGGCCTGCTGATGCTTGAGGGCATCTGAGGTAGGCCTGAACAGAACACCCCTGGAGACTGGCCAAGGTGCCAGTAATAAGGGCGTGTTCTGCTGGATCCTTCCCAGAAGATACAGTGTCTGGTTCCGGTGCTGACAACTGACCCGTCTGATATCCATCACACAGAACATTATTTTTAGATCTGAGGAAGGAGTAGCAAGGTTTAAAAAATAAGGTACTAGATATAGGGGGAACTACATTCCAGAAGCTCAGTCTTGACCAGGAAATGCAATCGATGGGCCTGCTAACATTAGAAAAGGTTAGTACCAGCAGCTTTCCAGGTGAAAATGCCTAAGAATGAGACCCCACACTTTTCTTTCACTTTTTTAATAAATAAATGTGATGCTACTAACTTCAAGAAAATTGCTTTTACTGCCTATAATAATCTTTTTTGTGTCAACTAATGAACAGAAAGGCTGTTTCGATATCTGTTATTGGTGTCTGCACTGGATATACCCTGTCTGCTCTTCTGGATCTAACTTCTATTCCTCTTCTTCTCTACCCTGCTCTGAGCTCTGGGAAGCTCACCCTTAGGGAACTCCCTTCTCCTCTGTCTTCTGGTTAGTTCCAGCCAATGGAAGACATCAGTGAGAGATTGGAGGTTGGGAGGACAGATAGCTCCGAAGAATAGCTTAATTATGGTTGGTGTTTATTAAAATACTCAGTTTCAATAACATAATGAAAAGCACTCAAAATAGGAAGAAGATGACTACTTCTTTAATATGATAAAATACAGTACATCTATGTCATCCCAAAAGGCCAGCATTCTGCTTGATGGGGAAACATAGGGCAGCCCCACTAAAGTTAGGAATAAGACAGGAGTGCTCACTATCACCATCATTATTTAAAATTTTTACCGAGGTACTAGCAATCACAATTAGACAGGATAAAGACTTCAAGTATGAAAATAGGAAAGGAAGAAAATTATTCACTATTTGCAGATGATATGATGTATGCTTTTAAACCCAAGAAACTCAACTGAAAAATTATTATAAACAATGAGAGAATTCAGTAAAGTAGAAAGATGCAAAATTAATATACATAAACCAATCAATCTCATATATACAAACAACCTATCAGAAGATAGAAGGATGAAGGACCTTAATTAAAGTAGCAACAAAAAAGAAGAAATACCTAGGAATAAATTTAACAAGAAATGTACAGGCTCTATATGTAGAAAACCTTAAAATAAAACCAAAAGATCCAAAAAAGATTTAAACAAGTGGAAAGACATACCTGGATAGGAAAATTTAAAATTGTTAAAATGTCACTTCTCCCTAAGTGAATTTAAAATTTCAACACAATCCCAATAAAAATACCAAGTTTTTTTCCTTTCTTACTTGACAAGATAATCTTCAAATTTATATTGCTGACATCGGGAGAATAGCCAGTAAAATTCTGAAAAGAAAAGAAATATGTATGTCTGTGTGGGGGAGAAGGTGGAATGGTTAGCCCTACCAGATATTAAAACACATTGTAAAGCCTCAGTAATTAAAACAGTGTGGGACTAGTCCGTAAATGAACATAGAGATGAATGGAACAGATGAGAATGTTCTGATATGGACCCAAATAGATGCAAGAATTTGTATATGATAAAAGTGACATTGCAAATCACCAGGGAAAAGAAAGACTAATCAATAAATGGTATTGATATAACTGGATAGCTATCTGGAATAAAACTGGGCTATACTTCACACTATACAACAAGTTACAAAGATGTCATATATTTAAATGTGGAAAATCATACTGAAATTACTAGAAGAAAACTGTGGGAGAAACTTTTTATAACCTTGGAAGGTTTTTGTAAATGTAACTTAAAATCCAGAAGCCATTTAAAAATTGATAAATTCAATTATGTAAAAATTTAAAAGTTTCTGTGTCGCAAAAAAAAAGAAATCACCATAATTAAAGTTAAAAGAAAAATGACAAACTGGGAAAAAATATTTTCAACTGATATAGTAATAATATCCCTTATATACAAAGCACTACTAGAAATAAGTAAGAGAAAAAATTGACAAACCAATAGAAAAATAGGCAATGGAAATGAACAAATGACTGAAGAGTTCTGGTACCAATTCCAGCATGGGGGTCGAGGTGTTTTCCCACACCAACAAGCAATTTTCAGACATCAACTGGATGTCCCACAATTCTGATGCTGTCTACCAGGAGATAGTGTCAGATCCCACTGGTTAAGGATTCAGTCCTACAAGGCTGCCAGTCTCAAGTCCAGGTTGTCACCTGTGCTTCTAACAACATCCCAACAACCCCCTCCTTGAGTATGATTAATTTCCTAGAGTGGCTCACAGAACTCAGAGAAACATTTCACCTCCTAGATTACTGGTTTATTATAAAAGGACCTAACTAAGGAACACCCAGAGGAAAGAGATGCATGGAGCAAGGTATGGATGAAAGGCGAGGAGCTTCCATGCCCTCTCCAAACTCTCCACTCTCCCGAAATCTCAATGTGTTTACCAACCCAGGAGTTCTCTGAACCCTCTCCTTTTGGGTTTGTATGGAAGCTGCTTGACATGGGCATGATTGATTAAATCATTGGCCATTGGTGATTGAATTCTGACTCCAGTCCCTCTCCCCTCCCAGGAGGTGGGGGAGGGGAAGGGCTAAAAATTCCAACCCTCTAATCACAGGGGGCTCCCCTGGCAAGCAGTCCCCATCTTTAGGTGCTTTCCAAAAGCCACCTCATTAACATAACAGAAGACAGCCTTACTGCTCTCACCACTTAAGAAATTCCAAGGATTTTAGGAGCTCTGTACTGGAAATGAAATGAAGACCAAATATATAGTTCTTATTATAAATCACAATATCACAACTCATAGAAAAGATCATAAATATATGAAAAGATATTCAACTTCACTCATAATAGGAGAAATGGAAATTAAAGCTGTGCTGATATATTATTTTTCATATATCAGATTTTCAAAAATCTAAAAGTTTGCTTATCTTTGTGAGATTATAAATTGGTACAACTCCATGGAGGGCATTTTCGCAGGGTCCATCAGTCTTACAAATGCACATATCCTTTGACCTGACAACCCCTTTTAATGGAATATATCCTATGAATATATTTGACACATAGATGACCTAGATGCAGGATTATTCATGGCACCATTACTTGTAATAGCAAGACTGGAAACAACCCAATGTCCATCAATATGAAACTGGTTAAATAAATCATGTTGCCTCCATTTAATGGAATATTATGCAGCCATGAAAACAGAAAGAAATAAAAAAGAAAGATAAGGATATGCTATGTACTATACTGATATGGAAAAATCTTCAAGATATTTTTAATGAAAAAATGCAAGATGCTGAGCAGTATGCACTATCTGCTAACTTTGTGTGAAAAAAGAAAAAAATAGAATATATGTATAAATATTTGCTGGTATATACATAAACTACTCTGAAAGATATCCAAACAACCAGTAAGAGTGGATGGGGAGGAAAAAAGGGAAGGAGATCTAGTGAATGGGGAGATTGGGAAGGGAGACAGACATTCACCTTTTATATTTTTTAAATATTTGAGTCATGAGCATATATTACTTATTCACATATTAAATATTTAAAAAGTGCTTGTTAAAAAATCAAACAATACAGACATATATAAGGTAGGAAGTGAGTGTTCCTCTGCTCCTAAACCTACCACTTGGAGAAAACCAATGCCACAGACGCCTACTTATCTTAAGGGATTTAGTCATTGATAAGCAGATAGGAGACTTAGAAAAAATTACATATTAGGCAAGGAAAGCACTATTTTCTGAGTCACTGAAATCATGTTGCTGTGGCAGTACCAAATCCGCTTAGCTCAAAGACAAGCAGCTGAAATCAATATTTTATTTTATTTTTTGAGGAAGATTAGCCCTGAACTCTGCTGCCAATCCTCCTCTTTTTGCTGAGGAAGACTGGCCCTGAGCTAACATCTGTGCCCATCTTCCTCTACTTTATATGTGGGATGCCTACCACAGCATGGCTTGCCAAGCGATGCCATGTCTGCACCCGGGATCCGAACCGGCCAACCCCAGGATGTCAAAGCAGAACGTGCAGTTAACCACCGTGCCACTGGGCCAGCCCTCTGAAATCAATATTGCTTTCCTTCTGCAGGCTTACAGTGAGCCACTGGGCTTACATAGCACATTCAATCCTATATGAGTTCAGGTATATGTAGAATTGAATTGGAAAATTATTCTGAATTAGGTAGCAAGGTAAAGAGAATGGTAGAGGCCATTAGCTCTAATGTATTAAGTATTATGTGGATTTGAAATTAAGACACTAATATTGCAGCAAATGAAAATGTTTATGCAGTCTGCAAATTCTTGGCAGTAGTACCACAGAATTCAGCCAGCAAGGGCTCCTAAGTTACAAACATAAAGAGTTGCAAAGAACACTAATAATTATTCCTTGTTTTCCACTGCCATTATTAAAAATTACTAAAAATATTTTCTAACTAGACTGTGACATTCCACTAGTTCAGTAAAGCAAAACTCATGTTATGAAGACCCCTCTCAAGATCATGTTCCTTTGACTCAGAAAATTCCTTGGAGTAGAAAATGAATGTTATAAATATCTATTAACCAAAAATGAATACAAAATGACGTATTCAGGCTCCTTATTTCAACACAAATACCAAGATCTCTAGCCAAACTAGCAGTTGATACTTTTAATACATGTGCCCTAATACAATGCAACAATTTTTATGCAATGCACTCTTTTTCCTGTCATCTTCTTATAAAAGCAATGTGTTGATGTTGGAAGAAACCTTAGAAATCAACAAGTCTAGTCATGCAGTCATTCATTCATTTCACAAATATTTATCAAGTGTCTCCACATATTAAGTAAAGTAAAAAGCAGTAGGATAAGAAGATGAATGACACAGTCTCTGGCCCTTGAGGAGCTTACATCTAAGCCAAACCCTTTATTATTTATTTCATTTATTTTGGCTTGATGTGTTTTATGTTCATGTTTTTAATTAAAAACATTTTTTTTTCAATTGAGGTAACATTGGTTTATAGCTACCCCTTTATTTTTATTTTAAAGAATCTCTAGGTCTCTCAAGTTGAGACCAGTATGTCTTTTCTTTATGCCAAATATCAAGCATTTATGAAAAGAACTAAATAGTTTATATTTATGGATTGGCAGTGGTCTATTATTACTTCAATGCTTTTCACATAGTAATTTTTTGGTTTTGGATGATCATTTCAGACGATCTAACTGCTCTTCATCTTCACAAGTAACTTTAATACATTATGCCAGTTAGCCTTGCAACAACCTTCATTTCACAGAAGAGCAAACTGATGTCAGCGAGATTAATCAACTTTCCCAGGAATTGTACGGCTAGTAAGTAAGTGAACCCAGATGTGTCTGTCTCTAATGCTTATATTCTCTCTACCACAGAACCCAGCAGGACTTGTAGAGAAGTTGTAATTAGTATTTACTTTTGGAGTACTTTAAGATTGAGAATACTTTGAGTACATGAGTGTCATTTGATTGTTAAATCTGCTGCTGCTTCACAGACAATTTCTCAGAGAAAAGTACACTATAACTGTAAACAACACAATGTATTTCTGAGTACCTTAATGCCAAATCACGAAGAGCATGAAATGATACTGGACAACTGCTGGCCTCAGTCATTACAATATTCTGCATTAAAATGATCAATGTAGGGCTGGCCCAGTGGCACAGCAGTTAAGTTTGCAGGTTACGCTTCAGCGACCCTCGGTTCACCAGTTCGGATCCCGGGTGTGGACCTATGCACCACTTGTCAAGCCATGCAGTGGCAGGCATCCCTCATATAAAGTAGAGGAAGATGGGCACAGATGTTAGCTCAGGGCCAGTCTTCCTCAGCAAAAAGAGGAGGATTGGCAGCAGATGTTAGCTCAGAGCTAATCTTCCTCAAAAAAAAAGTAAAAAAATTAAAAATAAAAAAAATGATCAATGTATAAATGAAGTTACTGGTTTTTTCCCATTATATTCCTTTACTTTTTTATCCTCAAACCTTCCTATAGCCTTATCTTTTGTTCATTTGAATTGCTTTGCTCTACGTCTTTTGAATATCCATATCAAGTCTACTAAATCTTTAAAGATACTATAATATTTTTACATTAAATTATTATTATGTTCTTCAAAAGGTCACTGATTTTTCTTCTTTTAGGCATGTTGGTATGAGTCTCCTCTTAACACACACACTCCTCTACTCAAGTCTTCTGAGAAGCAAAACATTCACTTTATAGTGAATGATCAATGCATAACTCGCTCAGAGCAAGGTAGAGATTTTTGCAATCATAGAGATGATCTATAGCAAAAGAGATATTTGGGTAAAGTCACATGATCGAGTCTGGCACTGATTGGCAGTTAGCTTTGAAGACCTTGGACCGTGGAATCAGATC